GCTCGGAAAGCATATTCGTTCATTTATGAAATATATCGCCCAATATCGCCGGGATATAGATATATATTATAGCATCAATGCGCTGCGACCTGCACTTTTTAATGCAAAGCGATATTTTTAAAATATGTGAGCTATAATATATATTATATTATCGCTCATCGTCCGTCGCCGGCTTTAGACTGTAAGCATTACTGTAATTTTTTGGGTTAAGTGTGAGTGGCTTTTTAGCCAGACTTCGCCCATTTATTTATTAAATAAAGCCATTATTATTATTATTATTATTAATATTACATCGCCATGGTTGTAACAGCTAGTAGTGAGGAATTCTTGATGAATTTGGCCGACATCGGACTAATGCGAGTAACAAAGTGGATGAGGAGGCAAAACCTTCAACTTGCACCTCATAAAACGGAAGCAGTTCCACTAACGACGAGAAAAATAGCTAGACTATATTTTAATGTAGATCAAACAATAGTTAATCCGAGTAGTGCTATTTATCTATAAGCCTTGATCGCCCTATAAGAGCCCTCTTCCCCCTTTTTTTGTGGTTGACTGGTCAGCGATGCTTCACGGTGGAGTATCAACACAAGCCAAATTTTTTAATGTAGTTTTTATGAAGGTCTTTTCTGTACCACGTTAAGTAAGTTTTTATTCTTAACTTTTAGAGCAATAATTGTCTAACCATTGTATTTCCATTTTAGTGTCCTGAGGAAGGAATGAATAAATTCCGAAAGCTTGACAATTAACAAAGTGTATTAATTCTTTGTCAAACCCTTCCGACTGCAACCCCACTAGCTCCTAGATTTTCTTTCTCACTAGTCAGTCGAGACTACTTTCTGTTTATTAATTTAGATATATTTAATAATATAACAAAAGCCAACTGAGAAGTCCTTCATTCTCAAGTTTTACATATATTTATAAACTAACAAACCACATTCCGTAATATATAAATAAGGTATTTTACACTTAGAAACTAACAATTTGATTTCATCATTTATTCTACAATAAGTAATATTCAAATATATTACAACTGGTAAAATTGGAGGCGAAGCACTGGAGGGAGAAACTGGCAACGATAATACGGGACGGAAAATCCGGACAATCTACAGTCAAATTCAAATAGAAACCAGGATCTAGGTTTTGAAGTAGGTAATGGTAAATCCAGATATTTTGGAATTATAATAATAATAATAACTCCCGTATATAGCGTTTAACGCCTTGGGAGTAGCAAGGTACAGCTTGCCATGTTAGAGCCGTTCGGTATACAAGGAAGGTAATGTGTCTAGCACTACGCTTCAACCGCCTATTATTACCTCAGGATTATGAATCCGAAGTACTCATTTAAGGCTGAGTCGACCCAGGTACCCAAACTGTTTTTATTTTAATAAAAATAGTTGGCTGATGAAATGCCGGATGTGGGATTCGAACCCACAACCTTGAGATTGGTAGACGAGAGCCTGTGCCTCTACGCCACCGGGCACCTTTATTTTGGAATTATACCACATAAAAATATTGATATATTATATAATTGATATATTATGTACGGATCACAGTCATTTTTCATTTCAGGTTAAGAAGGCTGGTCTTTCTGACTCTTCCAGTACTAGCACCACCTTTATCTTCTTGGTACAACCCGCCGCAGAAGGAATATCAATATTAGAAGAACTAAACAAGCCTTTCATGGCTGCTAACAGTAAAAAATATGTTAATGCCCAACTTCTTAAGTTTTCTTATGACGATTGCCAAACCTTAAAGGAGGGTTTATAAACTTGACGTTGTCGTTGAACGGTATAACCCTACTTATGATTTGGTTTACTGTAAAAAACTTCTAAGTGGACATCAGGCCATGGTCAGGCCGTACAGCAGACGTCATGTCAACGGAGTTTATGAACGTTCTCGTGTATTTCAATAATTTTAAGTTGAGTACGGAAAATAGAACAGCACGACGGCAACGAAAGTCACGATTATAAACCGTCCTTTATAGTGGAAGATTTGGAGTTTAGGCAATTCGTCAAAGCACTAAATCCGAGTTACGAGTTGCCGACAGGTCAAACCATCGCTTAAAGTTACATACCAAGTCTGTATGAAGAATACGTTTTGCGTGTTACATCATCAATCAGTTCTTCTGACTACGAACGCTTGAACCTCTAAAACCAACGACATTTCTGTTGGAACAACAGTGCATTTTATGGACGATGGTTTTATATTCCGTTCCGTATTAATGAAATGCACCCATTTTGACCATTTATACACATGAAAAAATAGCAAAAAAACTTAAATACGCCACAGAAGAATGGTTACTGGAAATAGGATTTTACTAACAATAACAGACAATGCGGCCAATATTAAAGCTACGATTTTAAATTCCCTTGGTTGGAAATATTTTGGGAGTTATGCCTTCACCTTTAATTTGATTGTTCAAAGCCCTTTAAATTTAGACCTAGCAAAACTTTGTTGGCAGGGTGAATATGATGGGCATTTTAAGAAAACTCCAAAAACAACGCCAAAATTCAAAAAATGCTGCAGTTAAGAATCCGTTGAAACTTATCCAAGATGGGCCAACGAGATGGAATTCTACCTACTATATGTTGCCGAGATCAACGGTATCACAACAAATTCAATCATCAAAACAAAATGTGTTAAAAATGAGTTTTAATCCAAGAGCTTGCTTATGTCGACCCATTTCGACTTTTTTGAAAAGGTGCAACATTTCATTTTAAGAAATTTAAATTACAATTTACTAATGAAAATGAATCAACTGGCAGAGATTCAATATCGAAACTTAATTACTGGCAAATAAACACATTGCAAAATGTGATATCTGTAAGCAAAATATTTCTTTTAACTCATCGGTTTCAAATTTGAAAAGAGATGTAATGAAAAAACCTTACTAGGAAAATTGGAGGGAGAGTACTGGAGGGAGAAACTGGCAACAATAATACGAGGAGACGGAAAATCCGGAGAATCTACAGTCAAGTTAAAATAGAAACCAGGATCTAGATTTTGAAGTAGGTAATCGTAAATCTAGATATATGTATAATAATACCACATAAAAAAAATGAGATATTATATACGGGTCACTGACCTAGTCATTCTTCATTTCAGGTTAAGAAGCCTGGTCTTTCTGATTCTTCCAGTATTAGCACCACATTTTTATCCTTGGTGCCACCCGCAGCAGAAGGAATATCAATATTAGAAGAACTAAAGAAGTCTTTATGGCTGCCAAAAGTAAAAAAATATTAATGCCCAAGCTCTTAAGCTGTTGTTGTCTTAAGCTTTCTTATTATGATTGCCAAATAGTAATGGAAGTAATAGCAATAGAGTAATGGAAGATTTGGAATTTAGGCAATTTGTCAAAGCACTAAATCCGAGTTACGAGTTGCCGACACGTCAAACCATTATCGCTTAAAGTTACATACCAAGTCTGTATGAAAAATGTGTTTTGCGTGTTACGTCATCAATGAAGTTTCTTCGGTTTTTCTGACTACGGACGCTTGAACCTCTAAAACCAGCAACATTTCTGTTAGAACAACCATGCATTCTATAGACGATGATTTTGTATTCCGTTCCGTATTAAAGAAATGTGCGCATTTTGGTTATTTATACACATGAAAAAAATAGTGAAAAAGCTTAAATACGTCACAGAAGAATGGGTACTGGAAAATAAGATTTTACTAACGATGAAATACCATGCGGCCAACATTAAAGCTACGAGCATCGTACTCAGAGTACGACATAAATCGAGTAGTACAATTGAATACAAAAATCGAGCATCGGTGTATATCGGGCCAAAAAATAACCGTTAAGTTTCTGTTCGATTCGTCTGTATGTGTCTTACTGTTGGCGGTTGGAATGGCTATGAATGTTTGTAGGCATAATATGGATTAATAGATGTTTTGGTGCCTGAAGAAGCGACAATAAAGTCGCGAAACGTGGCAAAAACATTGTTTTCTTTCAAGCCTTCCCAAACACCAACGATTTTTTTTTCTGCTTATAAATATTCTAAACTAGTAGAGGTGTTAAAATTAGTTCAAAATATTTGTTTTAGTATTTATGTCGCCATCTATTTTCTATATGTAAAACCATTTATTGTATAGTTCAAGATCTGGCAAAAAATAAAATCAGCCCATACTCAGTTACCACTAACTAAAAGTGTTTTTTATTTACTCCTAGATATTCCAATTTTTCCACTGTAAATTTACAGATTCTGAGAGCTACCGTTTCGGCCGGCAAGAAATAGACAGAGATGACTCCCAACGGAGCTAGCTTATTTTTCCAATTAACGAGTAAACAGTCCTCATCACATGGAAAAATAAACTAGCTCCGCTGCTATGCCAAAGCTGGCTTGAAAACTTCATATGAGAAGAATACTAAAAAATCTACATCAACGAAAAGTGTGATAAGATCGTGAAACTAATGATAACAATAACTGTGGAAATATTGTTTAGTGACCCACGACCCAGCTACAGACAAACAACCAAATTACGGCCCAAATTAATTCCGAGAGCCACCTAAGATTCAAACACCTTCACAAAATGAAGCTAAGCGCCACACTTCTGAAGAGAAAATGAGCATATAGATAAAACTGTCCAACATGCTATGCGATCTTCATTTCCTAGCGACGTCTGGCGTCCACGTCTCGCCGCACACTGGTTCGTTTTTTGAACGTACGTGGGTAAACCTGTATACTTATCAATGAAAAGTAATGTATAGCTTTATAGAGAAACAAACCAGCGCGGCGAGCCACGGACACCAGACGTCGCGCGTCGCTAGGAAATCACACCTTTAGTCAGCTGTTTCGGATTGTCACCTTAGTTTCCTAGTCGTTTATGTTGGGTGTTAACGATGTGCGTCTCTCGAAGAATGGCTGAATGGCTAAATGCTGAAGTCTTGTTGGATTGCCCTCCTTTCGGACATGCTAGCAAAATACTTGTTGGTCGTCGTCATATCGGATGTGAACAAATATATTCAACTAAAATGAATTGTAAAAAAAACTCATCAAACTTAAAAATAATTTATCAACATTCAACATGATGATCCTTACACTAACATAACATGAAAAATTACTAAAAATAAAAGTCAAAAAAATATATAACAAATTTTAGACAAATTAAAGTAATATAATGTCCAATCATTTGTTAAAAATACAATATAAAAAAGAACAAATCAAAAGTATCAATAATATAATGCACAAACGCAAGTAAAATATAAATACTGGTAAACTAAATTATAGAAGTTATAGATAGAAAGTTTAGGAAAAAAAACTAATCCTAATTTATAATTCTTACTTTATAAATTAACTGATTTCTTATAAATCTCTTTACTAAATTATAATCTAAACTGAGAGTGCTATCACAACATTCAAACGGCTTTACATTGCCAATAGCACATACATTTTTGACATAAAGTCTACAATGTTTATTATTGTCAGTAAAATCAATTTCATAATGGTAGGAATCATTATCAGAAGATCCAATAAGATTTACAGACCATCTGAATATTTTCTCTGCATAATCATATAAAAAGCATACCTTAAATAATTTAGATAATTTTTTAATAATATAACAATCTGTTATATTTTGCTCAAGACCGGCATCAAATGGAATACCTATAATATCAAATTCTAATAAATGTTCATAATGGTTTTGCTTAATATGGTCGTAAAGTTCGTTAAATGAGAAATGACCGGTACAGTCTTCAAAATCTTTTAATGGACAATCAAATGTGCCAAATATACAAGACACTTCATGTTCTTTAATATACTTTGGTTTAGCAACAAATTTACAATTGGGATATTTACATGGGTATTCCATTTTCATCGCAATATTTTCTAAATTGCGGTTTGGAGCTTGAATAAAATTTCCTTTACATTGAGGGCATTCTTTCATTTTAGGTTGACAAATGTTACATATACCATGCCCACGTTCGCACTGATAAATAGGTGGAATCATATAGTAAAAACATACCGGGCATTCTAACTCAGACAAAAGATCTTTATTTATCTTTGAATTATAACGGAAATTACCAACATCTTGAACTAAGTTTTCTTTAGTGATATCTATATTCGCAACTACGCTAACTGGGTCGTTTAAAGATTCCTTCATAGAGTCCTTTGATATTTTAATTGTTTTTCCAATTCTTTCACTAATAGAAAGTTCTTGTGCATTATTCCCACTTTTAAACAAAACTATATATGCATAATCATCCATTTCATGTTCCGATCGCAAAAAAGATAAAGTGAGGCTAACTATTTTATTTTCTGTATTTCTTTCAATAAGGTATATTTCTTCAGCAAATGGAAATATGTAAGAAACACTGCCATTATTTACAAAATCAACCTCAAACTGATTGTTTTTTAGAATTAAAACAGGATGGTCGTGTTCGAAATGATCTAAAATATCATTTGGGCTGCCCTTCCATTTGCACTTGCAATTTGGATCGTTAGAAATTTTACTGGGACATTGAATAATTCTATAATAACATCTAGTTTCGTGTTTTACTACCTCAGATGGAAATAAATACTCCAAGCATCCAGTAAGTTGATTGATGCAAGGAAACTTTTGATGCTGAATTGCACTATCGTAAATATCATTTCTAATAAAACCATCGCCCAGATTTTGCAGATCATCAGAACATCTTCCACAAAGTGAGCCAAGTGTTGAGTGTGTATATGTCGGGATCACTGAAAGATACTTTTTGCATCGCAAACACGTTAGTTTCAACGTGATATCTTCACTATCTGAAACAAGAATAGACAAATAAATGTAAATTACATTTCTTAAGTTTAAGTTTCTTAAATTTTTAAGGTTTAACAAAACAGACTAGCAAAATTATCCAACAAATTCACAATTGACGAAATTGGCTACTGACGAAAGGAAGATCCCCGTTAGACGGTTTTGCATATTTATTAACACGAATGCCGCCGAACAACGAGGTAAATGTTTCATGTACGGCGGTTGTTGCTAAATATACAGGGTGTTTCAAAAAAACATGTGCCATATCTCGTGGGGAGATTTCTCACGTAAAAATAAGATTTATTTTTCATATCAACATAGGTCCGATTCTGCTTTGTTTCGTAGCTACTCTACAGGGTGTTAAATTCTTAATAATTTTTCGATTTATTATAATTTTCTCCAAGTACTTTTAGTGATTTGAATGAAATTTTGAGGGTAAAAATTACTAAAAGTGCTACATATTTTGGCTATCTGGAATCTGGCTATCACTGGAATATTTTTCAAAGAAGAAACATGGGCGCCACTGACTTTCTTTTGATATCAAAATTGTGTAGGCCGTTTAATGCCAATTAAAAGTTATCTCAATATTTTGTCAAATTCGGCCTCCTTGATGAGATAAACGCAATTTTATTAATCACAATTAATAAAATAAAAATGAAATTAATAAATTATATATTTTAAGTTATTATTAAATATTATTAATGTCGTTATTATTATGAAAACACGAAGTTTTTATTATTTAACTTTAATGATTAACTCAAAAATACATTAATAAATTGGCAACATGCCATCAACTTAACGCCATATTTTTACTACTACTACTGAATAATTAACTAACTACATTATCACGTGACCTCATGTCTGCCATAAATAAAAAATATTAATTTCAGATCATGTAGCGCCATCTAACCAAAGTTGATGGAAAATAATCTTATTGTACTGTGTAGTAAACTGTAATTTAGGATGAAATCTGTTTTCTCCAACACGTCCTCTCAATACAATTATTTTAGCAACAAAGTAACAAAATAAACATATTTCTTTATTTTTACTTAATTCTAGACATACTTAACAAAAGTTTAAAATTTCATGCCTAATGCTGACCTGAACTTTTCAAATTTTATTCTAGGCAAAGGTTTTGTAAATAAATCAGCTATTTGATATTCAGTTTTAACATAAACAATTTTAACAATTCCTTCATCTATTTTCTCTTTTATAAAATTAAACTTAATGTCAAGATGTTTGTAGAATGAATGTAGAATGTAGAATGTTTAGGAGGGGAGTTAATCACCGCGACCTTATAGATCTATTGTGTGTTCCCCTTTCTTGAGTTATAACGAGTTATAACTCATCATACAGTCTCAGAGCTTTAAGAAAAGCCAGTATCTGAGACGGCTCCACAGAGGCCAGCTCTCCATCCTCGACATCAGATGTACCAAGGTTCATGGCACGAATGGTCGTCGTCTCGGCGCACTCAGTGATAAGGTGTTCTGGTGTTTCCCCATTTTCCCCACAAAATCTGCATTCGCCGTTGTTTCTCAGTTTCAGCCTACTGAGGTGTTCGTTGAGGAGACAGTGTCCTGTTAGAAACCCCGTGACAATCCGAAGATTGTTTTTACTTAAATCAAGGAAAACCTTTGATTTTTCTCGGTCATAAGTTCTAAGGAACTTTTTCGTGTGCCTTAGACCGTTGGAGGACACCCATTCCAAGTTACGGATGGAGTCTTCCAGATTCTTCAGTTCCGCTTTCAGTTGGTTCCCGTTTGGAAAACAGAACGGTTCTGGTCCAGTTAGTGGAGTGCTCGCTCCTTTTCTAGCTAGACCATTTGCTTTTTCATTGCCTTCTATCCCTTGGTGAGCAGGCACCCAGAGTACGAGGACTTTATTTTCTTTGCCTAATTTGTTGAGCTTCTCCAGGCATTCTTTGACCAACTTCGAATTGATGGTTACTGAGTTGATCGCGTTAAGTGCTGCTTGACTATCGGATAGGATGGCAATTTCCTGTTTTCGATAGTTCCTATCTAAGATAAATTGTACGCATCTTTCGATAGCGCAAATTTCTGCCTGAAGGATACTGGGGTAGGTGCCCATTGGTTCGGAGTATTCAGTTTTCGGCCCAAATACTCCTATCCCTGTCCCTGCTTTGGTTTTGGAAGCATCCGTATACCACATGATGGTATGGTCTTTTATATGCTGAGTAAGCGTCTTTTTGTTCCTATCCTTTTTATTACTCAATACTACAGTGAGGTGTTTCTCAAAGTTGTAAATTCTTGGTATGTCATCCACTGGGAGTTGGAGAAGTGGAATTTCCTTTTTGAGGGTGTTCCAAGCCCCTGACCTGAAAATTCTCCCAGTACTGTTTCCATCAGTAACCATTCTAATCATTGTCGCATTGGCATAACTACCGACGACAATGTGCAGTGGTGTTAGGTCTAGAATGACCTCCATTGCTGCTGTTGGACATGTTCTCATGGCACCTGTGATGCAGATACATGCCAGTCTCTGTACTTTGCACAGGTTTTGCCTTGCTGTACGTTGCTCTAGTTTTGTATAAAACTGCTCCATAAGTAATTAAATTATCATGGTATACATCCAGCGCAAAATGTTAGAGGCGCAGCCCCACCTATTTCCCGCCAGTCTTCTGCATATCATGAGAGCCTTTGTGGCTTTGCTGGTAATGTTCTTAATATGCCTGTTCCAGAGAAGTTTACTATCCAGAGTTATTCCCAGATATTTCACTTCCTGTGATGACAGTATTTCCTTTCCATCTAGATGGATTCTTTTCAAGTTTTTCAAACTTCGCTTTCTGGTGAATGGCACTACTGCGGTTTTATCTGAGTTAATACTCAGCCCGACAGTCCTGCACTCTCAGCGATGCGGAATCCTCTTTGAATAATATCACACAGGGTGCCTTCATGTTTCCCCCGTGCAATGATGACTATGTCATCTGCGTACCCTATGCAGTGTATTCCCGCTAGAGTTAATTCTTCCAGTAGTTCATCCACTACCAAGCTCCACAGTAGGGGGGAGGTCACTCCACCTTGTGGAGTTCCTTGCGTTGTTTTAACAACTACAGTTTTGGTACCTATCTCAGCCTCTGCTGTTCGTGTTGAGAGCATTTCCCAAAACCAGCGAATTATCGTACTGTTCACCCCTCTTGTTTCAAGAGATCGCTTGACCACCTTTTGAGATATATTGTCAAACGCCCCTGCAATGTCCAAGAAGGCACAAAGTGCTGTTTCTTTGCTATCCAGGCTTGCCTGTATTAGATCAGTTAACTGGTACAGAGCAGTTTCTGTGGATCTGCCCGCTCTATATGCATGCTGACTATCGTGCAGTGGTTTAACCTGTAGATGATTTACTCTAATATGGTTGTCCACTACTTTCTCCATCGTTTTTAATATGAACGATGTGAGACTAATAGGCCTAAATGATTTGGGGTTAGCCCAGTCAGTTTTGCCTATTTTGGGTATGAAGATGACTTTAGCTCTTCTCCAGATGGTTGGTATATGGTCAAGAAGTCGTTTATTATTCTCAGGACTATTGGCTAAGCAAATGGCTGCTCTGTTATCTTCGTATATTTGAATTGGTTCATTAACTTCTAACTTAAAATCAAGCAAAAGTTTGCGTACCCAACAAACCTCTGTTACAGCCAAACTCAATGCTACGTATTCCGACTCTGTAGACGAAATTGATACATTTTGTTGTTTTTTACTGGTCCAAGATATTGTACTATCAAACATTTTAAAAACAAAACCTTTTGTCGACTTTCTATCAGTGGTATCACCACCCCAGTCTGAATCCACATAACCTGTTAAAATATTTCCATTGGGTTTAAAACACAATTTTAACTTAATAGTACCTTGAATATATCTAGGCACTCGTTTTAATGATTTATACAAATTTTCATTGGTTTTTGATTGAAATCTACTCAATATGCTTATACTTTCACATAAATCAGGCCTGGTGGCCAAAGCAGCATACATAATACTACCTATTATTTTTCAACACAATTTTTGCAATTCTACATTATTTTCTTCTGATTGAAATTTTTAGATCTATGTTATTGTCAAGAGGAGTATTAATACTTTTACAATTATCCATCTGAAACCTTTTTAATACATTTTTTAAATAATTCTCCTGACTAAGCTCTGTATAACCTAGTTCTAAATTTTGTTCAATCTGTATACCCAAATATTGAGATATTACACCTAAATTTTTCATTTGAAAATTCTTGTTCAATAGTTTTTTTAAATCAGTTACTTCATATTTATCAGTGCCTAAAATTAACACGTCATCTACATATAACAATAAATAAAGCTTATTTTCTTTACATTTAGAATATAAACAATAGTCATTTTGTGATCTTATAAAATCATTTTGTATCACTAAAGAGTCAAAATTTTTATTCCAACTTTTTGGAGATTTTTTTAAGCCATAAATAGACTTGTTTAGTTTACAGACAAAATCACTATTATTTATGTCGTTACCTGGAAGTGACATGTATACCACCTCCTCAATATCACTATATAGAAATGCTCCACGGACGTCCATCTGGTGTATGAGCTGCTTAATCATGTTTGCTACTACAAGCAACATGCGAAAGGTTGTCAACTTGGCTACAGGAGCGTATATGTCGTATAGCTCGGTGTCGCAGCCTTGTTGGAAGCCACGTGCAACCAATCTCGCTTTAAACTCACGATCACTTTTTTGTTTAAGCACCCACTTACTTTCGATCACTTTTTTATCTGCGGGCCACGGCACTTCCGACCACGTATTGATTTTTTTTAACACTTTCAGCTCTTGATCTACTGCTTCTTGCCACTTCGATGAGTTTTCACTTGATATTCATATGTGATTGCTTGTTCTGTTTCTGTGTAAAAACTTACATCGTAATCTCTCATCCATACTGGTTTTCTTATGTCTCTTTTATTTAATCTTATGTTTTCTTCTTGATTTTCTTCTGAATCTATATTTACATGTTCTTGATTTTTTAGTAGTTCTTAGG